GGATTCTTATAGTCAAACTCCGACCTTTTTTGGATAGCTCAAAGCCAATTTTTAAAATGTTTTCCAATGTTATGTCAACTTAGTTTCATTTGAAGGGCACTTTTCATTTTGTCTACATTGTTTCACCTTATTGTTCCTGTTATGCACTGCCCAGAGTGATCATTGGTCAGACAAGTTGTGGAAAAAACTGAAGAAATAAATAAATAACCTTCTCTGAATGTCATTGAAAGAAGAAACCATAACCCAATCCGATCTTGGATCTTTTTAAGGAGAAATCCAGGGTGAAAATATTTTAAATTAATTAAGAAATCTAATTACTTAGGGCACAAACTATCAGTCCCTATGAAACCATGTATAGTCCGTATCAAAACCCTTGATTTATACAGTTTGGAAAGGTTGATGGAAACTGAGGGGACAATTACACATCATAAATAAATAAATCCTGGGATTGCCTTGGGTTTGGGACCCTGGTAATTTTTTTTAAGAAACTGTTCACACCACATAAGCTGGGCAGTGCCATGTTTGGCTAGGGAACTTGGTTTTTTTCTCTCTCTCTCTCCTTTGGTTCAAAAAGGCGCCTTGAGGGTCCCTCAGAACCACCATCGCTCAAGCCTCCCTCATGAATCCCAGCTTCCCTCATCATTTCTTCATCCTCTCTCGGGGCTACTGCTGGACACCCCATTTTCTTTCCCGGGTCTTCTGCAAGGGGGTCCCCTTCCTTCCTCCTTTCCTCTCCCTTCAGCGCCTTCTCCTCAGACCGGGCGCCTTCCCTCTCACGTCGCCCCCCTCTCTCTCCCATAGGGAGGGGGCTGGCTTCTTTCGGGGGTCGTGAGGGTCTCCTGTTTTTCCTCTGCCCCAGCCTTCCTCTTGGATCCCCACCACCTCCGAGGCTTCCTGGCTTCGGGCCCCTTTCCTTCCATCCCTCTTCCCTCCAACCCACACAGCGCCCCTTCAAATTCTCCTCAGCATCCTTCCCACCGCCCACCGTCGTCCTTTCCCGCCTTTTCTTCCTTATTTGGGGTTGGGATGCTCGTGCCCTCGAGGTGTTTCTCGCGGGCGGCCCTTTTCGGGGCCGGCGCGGCTGTCAATCAACTCCGCAACAGCCAATGGTCTTCCCGCCTTTTCCCCCTCGCCTCTCCCACCTCCCCCCACTTCAGTCAGGGTTCGAGTACTGTACGTTCTTTTACGTCAAGGAGGGATGGAGTCTGAAACGAATAAAGAGCGTGAGGGATATGAGGTCTAAAATGAAATAAAAATTAAAAATAAAGAAGTCGGAACAAATCGTGGCAGCTTAAAGACTAGCTGCTCTGTTGGGCCCGCTTTTGTGGCCCAAGTGCACTTCCACAGACGTGAAAAGTGGCAAAGTGGCTTCCCCTCAGCTTGTCCCTACTGTACCTCACAGGCTTATTGTCGTGAGGATAAAAAAAGGGAAAATGGAGAGCCAGGTTCGCCCCTTGGAGTTCCTAGAGGAGTGGAAATGAGGGTCTAAAGACAGCTCTCAATAAATAAATGACGATAAATAAAAGCATAATTAAGTTATTTATCCTAGCTCTACATTGCCATAGTCTCTCGAGACTGAAGGATGCCTACTGATAATTTTCTATTTAATAATAAATGTAATACATTGCCATCCCAAAAAAGCACGGATGACCAAAGGGAGCTTCCAGTTTCAGAGGTTGTCTACCTCAGAATGTCAGTTGCTGGTGGACACATAAGGGAAGGGTGCTTTTGCCCCAGTCCCCTATGATTTATTTAGTACAGTACAGTATTTATTTATAGGGCACCTTTCTCCCAGGGGACCGACCCTCTTTCTACTGCTACTGCTCTGCACAAGCCATCGTGGCAGGAGTCAAAATTATGCCGAAGCTGTCTTCTCACCCCTTGACCAGAAGAAGCTTCCCTTGACACATTTCAGCCTGCGCCAGAGGGCTGTTAAACATTTGAGAGTGGGGCTGGAGGAACAAGTTAAGATTTCCACAAAAATAGGTTCCTTTATTTTTATATAAGAAAAGCTCTGAGCAAACAGAAGCGGTCTTCTCACCCCTTGCCCAGAAAAAGCTTCCCCTGACACATTTCAGCCTGCACCAGGGTGGTTGTTCAAGTTTGAGAAGCAGGGCTGGAGTGGGGGAGAGGGAGCCTCATAGGAGCTAAATAATAATAAAAACTTGTTCCGAAGCTAAAAGAGGAGGGGACCGATTTGAATTTCCCATCCCATCACAGAGATCCGAATCAATGGGGGATTAATTGGAGCGAATCAGGTGTGTGGATGATTGCTCTATGGTGCCCGACTAACCCTTCCCTCATTTGCCGGTTGCAAATGAGGGGCAGAACTGGGACTGAGTGGGGCAGCTCCAAACACCCTTTTCTTCCCCCATGGGGCTGCATCCATGGGGCTCCTTGAATGCCCCCTTGATCCGCCCCCCCACAGGTTCCCACAGGGACTTACCCGTTGCACACCCTGGTCTCCTCCTGGTGAGCTGAGCAGGTGAGCCGGCGACCAACCTGTGCCAGGTGGAAGGCAGGCTCTCTCTTGCAGAAAGCCAACCCACCCGCGTCGTCCTCCTGGCTTCTCGCTCTTTCTAACCCTTCCCTGTCCAAGGTGCAAGCTAGGAATTGAGCTGGGAGGCTGGAAAGGGGGAAACAGCATGCCCCCTTTCCAGGCCCCCCCTTGTTTTTTCTTCTGGAAGTGGGGAGCAGAGCTGACCCCAGATCCTGGGATAATTTACGGGAATAACCCCATTCCCTTAGTTCTTGCCTCTGCTTCAACCCTCTCCTGGGGAGCCTTGGCGCAGCTCCCAGCTTGTGCAAGCAAAAGCCAGGCAACCTTACTGGTTTGACTGGAAGAACCATGTGGGATTAATCGGGTCCCTTTATCCTCCCCCCCCATCCTGTCCCCTGGTGTTTGTGCGAGTGTGACACCGAGTACTTGGCCCAAAGGAGCACTCATGCAGAAGTAAGGACAAAGATCCTCCCCACTAGCTAAATAAATAAATAAATAATAACAATCAAGGCTGTTCCCTCTCTTTCTCTCTCTCTCTCTCTCTCTTTCTCATAGCTGCCTGTTGAGCAGAAATTCAACAGGTATAGCTTTCTCTAATAATACCAGAGGTCTGGCTGCAGCTGTACGCATGGAGAGGAACCAACCCCTAGCACATTTCTGCCTGCCCTGACATTGTGGGAAAACACAAGACCCCAGCAGATGTAATACTGTATGGGGAAAGTGCTATAGCCCAAATTACAAAGTGAAAAAAAATTTGAATGACAAATTTGAAATCGTAAGGGGGAGCCTGCATTTGCTTTCCTTCTAGACACCATGAGAAGATGACTTAGATCTGGGGAAACCCCTAGAAGTGGTGCTATTTATTGGGGAAAAATATTTTTAATTCATTTCAACACAAGCAAAGTGTACTTGAAGATGGCCAAGGGAGAATTGGGGACTGATAGATACTAGAAATAAATTTATGAATGCTCCCCCCTTATTATGGGATTAAGGATTCTTAGTTTGTGCCCACCTAGAATGGAAAGGCCTGGCTTATTTTGGGGGACCAACATCCAGGAGAATATCCCCTTAACTCATCTTGGTTTTTCTTGGGGTACTGTATTACATTGGTAATGCTTTCCTGCCCCTCAGCCGTCTTCTCCCTTAAGATTTGGAAAATGTATAACTGTAGTCACAAACTGTGGGGCACGCAAGGTGGGGAAAGTTAATTTTCCAACATGATAAATTAATCATTTATCAAAAAGGTGTCTTGGAACAGACTCAGATTGCCTGGAGAGTGAGAAAATGCACACAAACACATTACATTCACAGAAGAGTGGGAGGGGGCGAGACTCAGGTGGTTTCCCCTTGACAACCTTCTGGGAGTTGCCATGGCCCAGATTGGATTTGAACCCAGGTCTCCTTTAACATGCCTGCCACAACACTCCACTGACTGCAAGGATGCAGCAGGGCAGTGACTACAAAACAAGAATTCTTAGAGAAAGAAACAGAACCTCCACATAAAGAGGCAGTCTATCTTAAAACGTTGCCAGCTTCCAGGAGGCAAAGAGGTTTGTGATCCAAGCTGGATCACAGCTGTGCATTTGGCTCTCTTGATTCATTGGTTTCGTTTTGTTTTCTTGTGGAGAGTTAATGGAGCCTCCGTATCAAGGAGCAGTCTACCCTGCATTGCTCATTGTTAGGTCAAGAAATGAGGGAGGATGGTTTCTCTCCTGCCCCCTCTGCCTGGCAGCACAAATTATCAATTCTAAAAAGCTGGCAAAATCACAGACGCCCTCCAGGCCAACACAGCTGAGTCTCTTGGCTCCCTCCACACTCTGGCCAACAGGGCCATGGGCAGATGGGCAATTAGTGTGACTAATTAACTCCCAAGCCTGTTACTCATTAGCTTCAGGGCAGCATTTCCAGAGGTGAGAAAGAGGCACACATTGGTTTGTGAAGCATCAAACATGATGGCAGTCGCCCACCAAGGCCGGGCAGGTGGGGAGGCAAAGGGCATAAACGTCCTTCTTAAATAATAACGCATAGCGTTTGTTTTATGAGAATGCTCGGCCTTCTTTAGAACAACCACCCTGCAAGGTCGGCCAGTGGATAGAGGCAAAGTCAACCCTCTGGCCTTTCAAACCGATTTTCAGATTTGCTTTTAAAATAGCATAGTCAATTTGGTTTTTAAGAATTAAAACAAAATATCAATTTTGTTGTACTTCCCGTGGTTTCCTTTAGGGAGTCAGTCCATCTCATATTGGGTCTTCCTACTTTCACTAGAAACGGGTCAACCTGGAGCCCCAGCCGCAGCAGCCAGCTGTCCATCCAAGACCACTGTAATTCTGAATAAAGCTCTATGAACACTTTCCCTTCATCCCTAGGTTAAAGGCCTTTATCTTAAAGGTGCTCAGTACATGCACAGATGCACCCTCTACTCTATGATTTCTGCCCATGTTCTCCTGCTGGGCTGGCAGTATTCTCTCTGGCTCAGCGTAGAGCGCCGTTTTTAGTTTTCTGCTCAATGTCTGTATCACACAGACTTTTTTTCCCCCGAGACACCAGGCCTTACATGGCCAAAACAGATAAGCTGTGCAAGATCAAAACAGCTGTGACTCTGGAGAAACAACACCTCTGATTTAAGCAGGTGCCCACCAAGCTGCTTCTATGTATGCAGCAGGCAAAAAACAAACAAACCCCAAACCCACTCAAAAGTGACACCTAAGAGAGAGAGAAAAATACACTATTTTGTCTTTGAAACAAGTTGGGCAAGGATTTTTATTTCTTTCAAAAAGCCACCGTCAAGAGAAAGCAGGTTCAAATCCCACCAAAGACTGTAACTGTCCAAAGGTGTTTGTAAACAGCAGAATACAGGGCTGGGTTATTTTGGTGGGTAACGGGCAAACGGAGAATCTTCCGTGACTCTTCCCTGTTAAAGGAAAAAAGGAGACAAAGAAAGATAACAAAGAGATAAAATTAGTTCTCCAACTCCAGCCCAATTTTCTACACCTCAAGCCTGCAATGGAGGAGTCACTAATTTCTTCAATTCGGGAAAATATATCCAAAATTTAGGGGTGGGGGAATGATATTGCTTCCCCTCTTATATTTAGTTTTTTGCAACCTTGCATGCTTCCTGGAGTGGGTTTGGCTGGGAGGTAACTTCCTTGGCTGGGGTGACTATCCAGCACTAACCAACTGTTCCTTTCCTGCCTCTGATTTCAAAGAGAGCCCCACCTCTTTGCTGAGAGCTATTTCCCCCTCTCCTGAGTCTGTTGCTCTGTTGCTGGAAGCAGTCATGTTTGTCCATTTGCTGTTTGATCTGTTCAATAAGAAGTCATAAACTACAGTATTTTTATTCTTTCTCTTTCAAATGTCTCTGAGATAATCATTGAGACTGTAAGTGCCAGACGGTGAGAGAGAAAAAAGGGGTAGATTACTCTGGAGATCTTGAAGCTATTCTGCTCTGGGAATGCCTGCACTTCTGCTGTGCAGCTGGAGGAGTTTAACCAAAAATACAAAACTCTGAAACAATTTGCTCCTTCTCTCTTGTCCGTTCTCCCCCCCCCCCAGTCTCCACCCCATGGGCACTTCATCCAGTTTCTTGAAAGACGGCTCCCTCGAGTGGCAAAATTTCACCAGGATCACAACAGCCCCGATGAGCAGAATTGCCATAAAGATGCAAATCACAGCAATCAGGCCTGGTTTTTGTGAGAGGGGGGTATCATCATCATCGCCAGGCTGGTCTGTTGTGGACAAAAAAGACATAGCTCTGAAAGATGTCACAGTTTTGTGGGTATTCCCCCCCCCCAAAACCAGCTCTGGATTTTCCAGAGAGGAATGACCGCCATTGACCCCTAAGCACGGCCAGCCTAGGCTGAATACCTTCCCAAGAGGTCACGGCAATGCCAAAAACAGAACAGGATCCTGATGCAGAGTTAAGCTTCTAAAGCATCTCTCCTTTCCTTTGAGGTGGGTGGGTGGGAAAAGCCATGCCACTAGTCCTCACTACTGCAAAATTTGTCACAGAAAATGGGCCACCTCAGTTTTTTAGCCATTGATTTGTTTGATGCAAGCTGCCCAGAGTCTTGTTTAAAGAGAAAGAAAGCTGGTATAAGGAAAATAAAATAAAATATATAAACAAATACTGTAAATGTAAGTGGTTCCTTGTTTGAAACTACAGTATCTGCTTCAAGTCAACAGTACCACTTGTGGTGCTCTGGCTCCCCCTGCCGCTCACTCCCCCTGGTTGCTTAGAGTCCTTTTTTTCAGGCTGAGCCCTGATGCTGGAAATCATATATTTTAAGAGATGACAAAAAAGTGGTGGATTCTGGGGTTTGTAGTCCAAAACAAGGGACTTTTTAAAGCCTTTAAATCCAAATGATCAACATATAAATGAGAGAAAACCACACGGGTCTAAAAGAGTAAGCCTTCACGCTGCCTCGGATGGCTTTTGGAAACAGGAAATTTTTCCCAACTTTCGGTTTGTCCTCGTATCAGCGTGAGCGGTGGTTTTGTTTGCCAAAGAGGAGTGCCTCTTGCCAACCCGGTGGATTAAAGGGCAGCCAAGTCTTGAGACAGAGCCCACCCCTTCCCATCTTTCCCAGAAGTTGGCGGCTTGCTGTGAGGCTGTGCTGACACCCCTGAACCCAGGACTCCAGCCCCATGCTCCATATCTGCTAGACAGAGACCGGAAAGGAATGACAGCAGAGAAAGCATCCTGGAAGTTGGACGTGGGCTATGGTCGCTTGGCATGCAGGAAAAATGCAAAAAGAATTGCAGGGCTTCTCACTCTCTGTAGATCATCAAATCCAGCCCCCATCAAGGAGGCCCAGTGAGGGGGATTCGAACTCCCAACCAGATGCCTAAGTAAGCCACCCTGGTTCCTGGCTGGCCTCACAGGGTCGCTGTGTGGGAGGCAGAGAGCAATAGAGGCCCCCTTTCAGCTTATTGGAAGGAAAAATGGACGTCAGCTTTAGCCTCCTATGAGATACACTGGGCCTCCCAAATTGCACAACTGCAGACAAACGCAGCTCCATGTGAGTGAAGAGGGCACAGACGAAGGAACCAGCCTAAGAAGATCTCTTACCCATGACTGTGGTGTGGCTAGCAGGCTCCTTCCCTGGGCTAGCCGGTGGCTCGTTGGAGGTCTCCAGCATTGTTGAAGTTTCCCATCCGGTGGTCGCACTCCCTGGCCTTTCGGTCATGTGCTTGGTGGCAGGAGTTTCCGTGCGAGTAGAAGCAGGCGGCAGGACGGAGGTGTTCCGGTGAGCCGAGTGGGCCTCCACTGTCTTTGTGGGTCGATTTGAGGTAGTCCTCCTAGGCCCCTGGCTTCTGGTAGACATCTCCGCACCAGAAACAGCAAGAGAAGAAGCCAGGGTTGTTGCAGGTGCTTTTGATACTGCAGTTACTGTCGTGCTATGCACCGGCTGCATGCTGAGCAGTTCTGTGTAAGGAGGAAAATTGCTGTCATAACGGACGAAAATCTGTTCCTTCAAGAGTCGACAGCTTCATGGAGCCTCCAGGTTCAAAGGCAGTCTACCTCTGAGATATGTCGTTAGAAGGAGGCAATGCCTACTGCAGGGCAGCAGGGGCACCTGCTCTGGCAACACTCTTCTGAGGTCCATAGCTTGAAAGCAACAAGGTATCAGCCTAGAATCACAGGTTTACTAGAGTGACATGTGAACCCATTCTCCTCGGATCAAAGTTGTCAAGCAATTGAACACCAAAATATTAGGATTATCCTTTTGTACATGAAAGGATTTGGTATAGGGTTACTCTTTTCAGTTGTGGGAGATGTTCCCTGACTTTATGTGAGTCACGGTGGAATCTTAAAATGGGACACCTTTGTTTTACATGATCTATGACTATACGATAATTAATGTTTTCTAAGCAATGGTCTTGTATGAGATTGTCCTTTAGATTTATTAAATTTGATCTCATCTGTGGATCATCACGTCCAGCCCGCTGTTATGTTTCCACGCACCTTTCCACTCAAAAAAGTGACTCAAAGCAGCCGGCCATACATCATACAAAAACCAAGCTTCTGTACATTTAAAACAAATTAAACATGGATTGGAAAATAAAACCTTAAAAAACACAGGAACGAAAGTCATTAAAACCATCCTCTAGATCACAGAGGTTGGGGAGACACATCACCATGTCTCCTGCTCCCTTACTCTGTGGGTAAACAGAATCCCCCACCTCCTTATTTTCTGATCAGAAGGGAACAGAAACCGATACTTGGGGTTTCCTTAGGTTTTGACATCCCCTGACCAGAAGAAGCCTGCCTTCTTTGCATTTTTACACTGTAATTGGACTGGAATCCATCGGTGTTTGCCCCAAACAAAAAGAATTATGGTTTAAAGGTGGCTGGAAATTCTCTGTGTTGTTAGGAATACCTCGGGTAGCTCAGTTCACGGAGTGCCCGGGTGGCTGCCTCTGGGCTCCTCCCCATCTCACCTGGGCCACTTACCTGGAGCAAAGGCCACCAGGAGGAACAGGGGCCACACAGCCATGCTCGGCAGGTCCACTTCTCCAGGGGTGGGGGGCTCAGGGTGAACAGCACGGACCGGCTCGTCTCTCTGGCTCCAGCTGCTAACAGGATCTGGCACCAACGCCCCAAAAGGGCGGGCATCTGGGTGCTTGCCAAATGCCCGCTTTGCCACTTGGCACCTGAGAGGGAAGCGTGGGGGTATGGCCACAGCGCCCTCTTTTGGGCAGGTGAGGGAACCACGCCCAACCCAGTGAGAAGGCGGCTGGGAGGGAAAGTCAGACCTCAACACCCAGTTTCTAAAGGTGGAAACTTTGCAAAGTTCCGCATTCCACAAAGTTTAAATCTGAAATTTTGCAAAGATCTGCAAGGATGGCCAGGGAGAATTATTTTCCACTGGTGGTCCTGCCTACGGCACCTCGTTTTGTGCACGGAAAAAGCACATTATTATTCAATTTGTGATTTGTGGGTGGGTGTATATGTGTGTGTCCCTGCAACCCAACCCGGTGTGACAGGTCGCTCTTCCTAGATTGTACACCTAGCAGGCATTCAGATGGAACCTACCTATGGTTGCCTCAGTTGGGGTGGACTAGATGACCCCAAGGAATCCCTCCTAGCACCACGATTCTCCAGTTCTGTTTCTAACTTAACAGTCCATAAGGTCAGACCAGATTTTTCAATCCAGACTGGAGGTTGGGCATGCTGCTTTTGGGAGACAGAGTATTCCCTGCCAGTTTAAGTCCGGGAGGGTCTGCACTCAGTAGCAGCAAGTTGCACCCAGGAATAACTCCCCCTTTTCTGTGGATGGAGCAACTCCAGGAGGGCCTGCCTAACCCACTCTCTGCAGCCCCAATTCCCACAGAGTTCGTCCGGATAACCACGTACAGACATGATGAAGAAAGCCATTTCTTGTAGTTTCTTCCTGGCGAGTGACAATTGTGAGGTAGACTGCAGTTGAAGATGGGTGTTCCATTTTTGTTACTCTACGCAACGGTCTTGGGAAACAGCAGCAGGAGCAATTGTGGGCCTCCAGATTCCTCCCCCCCATTCCCACCAGACCTAGCTGCCAGTGACAGGAGGAATGATGGGACCTGTAGTCCCAACTCATTAAGCTACCAAATCTAAGGGTAGAAAAATGCATTTGTCCTCCACTCAGAATGCTGGTCCTGAATCCAGGCCCTGAGATGACAAGCTCTATTAATCGCCCCTGTGATTAAACATTTCACCTTCTCTCTATCCTGACAAGGGGAAATCTCCAGACTGGGAGGGGGAAGATCCTGCCCCTGCAAGGGTTTAGAGTAGGTCTCAGTGGTTTCGGCATCTGGCTACCAAAATGAAGGTTAGGAGTTCGAATACCCCACTGGGCCTCCTCAACAGGGACTGGACTGGCTAATCTAGAGCAGGGGTCTCCAAACTTTTCAGCATGAAGGCCACATCATATATTTTACACATTTTTAAGGGGTGAAGGAAGACACATGCGCACGCACAGGCTGAAGGGAATGGACCTGAGCCTGTGGCGTTTTCCAGGCCAGATAAAAAGGCAAGGTGGGCCGGATGTGGCCTGCGGGCTGTAGTTTGGAGACCCCTGATCTCGAGGGTCCCTTCTAATTCTGAAGTTTTACGGTGATGATTATGATTTGATGCCCTGCTGAAAAAGACTAGAAAGGCCCGTTCCTTTTTAATTTCCAAAGGCACTAGTCCCCCCTTTCACATCCTCTGTATGTGTGCAATCCACCCAGGGTGGGGTCCCTTTCTCCCTGCTGGGTGTGCGCACGGCCCTTTGTTGCTGTACCACACGACCCTCTTGTGTTGTAGCAGCCTCCCTAGCAACCAAGACAGCCGAGCCCTCTGGCGCTGATTTCCCCCATGCCTTCCCTGCCCCACATGCCTTTTGGCCTGGCTGGCATCCAAGACATCTCGGCCTTCCCACCCCCAGGAAAAAAAAAACTGGCCCAGAGGTTCCCCCATCTGGTTTTGGTTTACTACGGCTCTTTCATTAACCCATCCAGTGCAGGAAAAGCACCAGAGGGACAACACGGGTCTTTCTTGGGCGATGGCAATCAGGAAACACACACACACATAAAAGATCCTTTTCTCCCCATGTTGCCTCCACCACATTTCATCCTCAAACAGTATCTAAAAGGATCTCTCTCTCTCTCTAAGGAACTTTATTTCTCTCTGATTTGATCTGTGCTCCACCTCCTCCTCATATGTCTCATTTCTTGGCCCCAGTGGGTGCAAAACTCAGGACTGTCATCACCCCCCCCCGCAAATTTACCCTCCCAAAGCGGCGCCCATCTCAAAACTGCCCCCCTCCTGCTGGTAAAAGCCTATTTTAAAAAAAGAAGAAAGGAACCACATCCCTCTTCAATCACAAAGGGTTTTCATGGTGCTTTTGTTCTTGAGATCATCCCTTCTTGTGATCTGAACATCCCTAAACCAGCCAGGTCTTTTTATAATCATCATCTCAGGATTGCAAAGCCGGAAAGGACCCTGTGGATCACTGGGAAAAGGCAGACAAAGGATGCATCAACAGAAGAGAAACAGGATTGATCTCAGAACTGCGCATTACTGGAGTTTTTGTATTTTACTGGAAGCTTTACTTTTTTAAGGCTGGGGTGTAAGTATCATAAATAGAGGGATAAAGTAAACTGCTCCGTAAAAGACCCACAATCCAATCCACCTTACAGTCCATGTTGGGGAGTAGGAAAAGGCAGACAAAGGATGCATCAACAGAAGAGAAACAGGATTGATCTCAGAACTGCGCATTACTGGAGTTTTTGTATTTTACTGGAAGCTTTACTTTTTTAAGGCTGGGGTGTAAGTATCATAAATAGAGGGATAAAGTAAACTGCTCCGTAAAAGACCCACAATCCAATCCACCTTACAGTCCATGTTGGGGAGGGAGGATCCAATCACATAACTGTGAAAAACTATTTTCCACCTCTTGGGGTTCAGATCTGGTAAGGCTGCACTTCTCAGAGAGACTGCTCCTGAAGCTGGGGGTTCAACAGCAGAGCCAGCTCAGAAAATACAAAAAGGGATGGAGGGTTGAACACAATCTCGGGGGGGGGGGACTGCTTTCTAGTCAGACACGCACAATTTAAGAGTTTTCAGAAAATTTCAAGGCAGACTTTTACAAATGTCATGGAGTCTCATATAATGGAAGGGGGACCCAAAGGCCACCTAGTCCACCCCTGCTGGTGCTAGAAATCAAGAGCTAAAACCTTATTTGACAGACGGCCCTCCAATCCATTAAAAAAAATCTCTGATAATCTTAGACCTGCTGAGCTGGAAGAGACCCTATGGGTTAGAAAATCAAACTCCCAACCTCTGGTTCTGCGGTCACAGGCCTCACTCCTGAGCTGTTGAAGCACTTCCTAATGCTTAAGCCCAAACTTTCTTTCTTGCAAACTAGGTTGGGGCTACAGAAAATAATCTTTCTGTTTCTCCATACATTTGAAAATGACACTATATGGCCTCTCCGGGCTACACATATCATATACAGTGGTGCCTCGCTTAGCGATTGCTTCGTTTAATGATGTATTAGGAGCAATCTTGTGCTCCGTTTAGCGATGTTTCCAATGGGGGTATTTCGCATAGCGATGTTCGGGACCATGCCTCGCGTAGCCATGACAGTTTGGGTCCCCCTGTTTCGCTTAGCGATGTCCGTTTTCGCTATTTTTAAAGTGTCTTAAAATGTTCAAAAACTGTTTAAAATGCTTGGAATCGTTAGTGCACCTTGTAAAACCTTTGCAAACTTAATTCGGCTTTGTTCTGAGTCTTCGTTAATTTTTGGTCCCCCCCATTAGAATGCATTGACAGCTGTCAAACCTAAAGTTCAATGCATTTTAATGGGGGGAGAAAAAATTCACCAAAAATTAACGAAGACTCAGAACAAAGCCAAATTAAGTTTGCAAAGATATTACAGGGTGCACTAACGATTCCAAGCACTTTAAACAGTTTTTGAACATTTTAAGACACTTTAAAAATAGCGAAAATGGACCTGTCAAAACCATTGAAATGCATGGAAACTTATTCAATGCATTCTAATGCGGGAACCGCGTTTCGCTTAGTGATGTTTCCTATGGCGATTTTTCGCTTAAGGATGGTAATCTGTTCCCATTGGAACGGATTATCCGGTTTTCAATGCATTCCTATAGGAAACAGTGTTTCGCTTAGTGATGTTTTCCCATAGCGATTTTTTTTTGAACCAATTAACATCGCTAAGCGAGGCACCACTGTACACTCAATTCTGGTGGGGATTTACACCAGAGTAAGTCAAATCTGGGTAACCGACTGTGGCAAATCACTGCTAAGTAAATAAACAGGGGTGTAGAGAACGTGCATCCAGGAAGGCACCCAATCCTTTGTTCATTAGCAGCAATTCACTGGGGGTTCTAATATGATTTAATTTATGAATGCCTCAAGTCTCCAAGAAGATTCTGCCTCCCACTGTTTACAAGAGGTGGAATTGGTTATTGAGAAATGTGCCGGTTGTTCTGGAAGGAGCTGCTGGCCCGAATGAGAAATATGACAATGAAAGGCAGCAGGGTGTAGCCATGAAGGGGTCAGAATAGGAACAGAGCCAGCCAAGGGTTTTCAGGCAAGATCGTCTCAGAAAACCATTTCAAAAGAAACAGTACCCGTGTGCTCTTAAAGCCATCCGAGGTGGAAGCGAATTTTAAAAAGTAGCAATCCAAGCTTTTAAAAACCAGGGAATGCACAGAGCTCATCCCTGCTTGTACAAACGCAATGTACAGTGGGGTCTTGACTTCAGAACAGCTTGAGTTAAGAACATTTTGACTTAAGAACCACTCTCATAGGAAAATATTGACTTGACTTAAGTACTTAGCTTTGAGTTACAAACTGAAAAAACCCACGTGGGAGGCAGGGAAAGTGCAAAATGTGAACTTTCAGTTAACTGTTGGCCAGTGAAAAGGATGCCTGTCTGCTTAGCTTTTAAAAACCAGGGAATGCACAGAGCTCATCTCTGCTTGTACAAACACAATGTACGCTTCTGCTCCATTTTTGCCCCTAAAGCAATTCCTTTAAGGATCTGCTCACTTTCCTACCCGCATCAACCACAGTTTGATACACTTTGGAGCATCAGTTTGGACCCACGCAACGGCTCAGCCCTGGCACTCATCGGCAACGGCCAAGACCCCCCCCCCCAAAATGACCTATTAAAGCAGAATCTAACAACCACTGAGAAAAACGCTAGTCTGAGGGCAAACCCCACACAGACTCCAAGCTATACAGCAAACAAAGGGGTTTGGATATCAGACAAGGTCTCAAGTTACCAGTCCTCAGCCCTCTCTGCCAGAGCAAGAGAGAGATCTCTCTGGCCTCAAGTAAAGAGAATATTTTGGAACAGTTCCATTAACAAACAAAGCCATTCAAGACTCAACATCCAGCGAATGCTTGTATCCCTATAAGCAGAAGGGTACAGCTGTTGTGCTTCTGGACCACATAATTACTTAGCCAGGCTTAAATCTGCACACTTTTACTCAAGAGGAAGTATTCTGTGTCTAGGAATTTACATCTGCCTCAGTCTTTTTACATAGAAAAATCCTTTTCAGACTCCCTCTAAACTTTTGGCCACTTAATAGGGGAGAGGGAATTGTCTTAGTAGTATACTTAAGCAAACAGGTGTCAAAAATGATGACCTGTTTACTTTAAAACCATCTGGAGACATCAAAAGCTACATCTTCTGCCCACAATTAAAACATCAAGAAAAACATGCCAACCAACAGATGACCGACTTCCAACCACCAAGAAAGCTAACCCTAACATTAGCTACAACCTGCCTTTTTAAAGTCACACTTTGCTCAGTCAACTGTTGCGGATCCAACCTCCCTAAGCTAAGCACAAAAAATTTACTTTTTCTGGACTACAACCCCTTTTTAAAAACAGGCCATGGAAACAAGAGAGGCAGTTTAAAAAAGTTAACTCCCATAAACCTTAATTGGGAAATCCTGGGAGGGATCACGCACAAACAAACAAACAAACTTACAGAAAAAGAACCCAGAGGAAACACCTGGAATAAAATACATATACATGCTGGGCACCCATACCAATGGATTAAGGATCAGCCAAGGTTTCTTCAGCCATTACCAAATGTAAAAATTATGCCGATAACTTTTACTTTTCTTCCCAACAGCTAGTTCCACATTTTCAGAACTTGGCCCAATGGTAAAGTCTGCCATTCTCTACACATTACATGTTGTTCCTCTGTGATTTCCTTTGTGTTACTGTTTACAAAAATCTAGTGTCCAGAGAAGAGAATCTCAAATAGGAGGAGTGAAATGCAACTCAGACACCACTGTTTCTTTGTGAATGTTTTACAGTCTTGTCTGTCATCTCTCTCATGTCTGAAGAAGTGGACCGTGTTCCACAAAAGCTTACATTAAACTTGTTGTTTGTTGTTGTTCAGTTGTTAAGTCGTGTCTGAATTTTTGTGACCCCATGGACCAGAGCACGCCAGGCCCTCCTGTCTTCAACTGCCTCCCGGAGGTGGCTCAAATTCATGTTGGTAGCTTCAAGGACTCTGTCCAACCATCTCATCTTCTGTCGTCCCCTTCTCCTCTTGCCTTCATATTCTCCCAACATCAGGGGCTTTTCCAGGGAGTCTTCTCTTCGTATGAGAAGGCCAAAGTATTGGAGCCTCAGCTTCAGGAACTGTCCTTCCAGGGAGCACTCAGGGTTGATTTCCTTCAGAACGGATTTGTTCTCCTTGCAGTCCAGAGGACTCTCAAGAGCCTCCTCCAGCACCACAATTCAAAAGCATCAATTCTTCGGCAGCCAGCCTTTTTTATGGTCCAGCTCTCACTTCCATACATCAGTCTTGGAAAAACCATAGCTTTGACTATGTGGACCTTTGTCGGCAAGGTGAGGTCTCTGCTGTGTAGGGTTGTCATCACTTTCCTCCCAGGAAGTAGGCGTCTTTTAATTTTGTGGCTGCTGTCACCATCTGCAGTGATCATGGAGCCCAAGAAAGTAAAATCTGTCACTGCCTCCATATCTTCCCCTTCTATTTGCCAGGGTGATAGGACCAGTGGCCATTCTCTTAATTTTTTGATGTTAAGCTTCAGACTATTTTTTGCCCTCTCCTCTTTCACCCTCATTAAGAGGTTTTTAAAATTCTCCTCACTTTCTGTCATCAGAGTGGTATCATCTGCATTAAAGCACAGCAGTTAAAAGGACCATAATGATTTTTTTTGCTTTTGTGCTTCTTGTCGAAACCTCAAAACAAAAATAACTTTCCCAGCTCTGCTTTGAAGCCAACATTCCCTCCTTCCTCTGTACCCCATGGATTCTGAGAACTCAAAATTCTGAAAAGCAAAGATAGCTGATATTTGGGGTGGGGTGGGTGGGTTTCCACCAGATTCCCACCCCCTGCCCCAAATCTTCTCACACTGTGATCCTGCTCAGGTGGCCCATTCCCAGGGCCAACGCCAGGGGGTGCTGGTGGCCCACGTTTATGGTCCCAAGGCCTCGCCTTGAAAAGTTTTTCAGGCAGGAAGGGCCCGGCCCACAAGAGGGAGTAAAGCACCCCTCCTCCCAACCCACCCACCCCGGAAGACCCAACCCCTCTTTAGAAAAACAATCACCAGACTCCTTTGGGGGGGGGATGTCTCCCGCACAGTGTTTTTTTTTTTACTGCACCTTGGAATGTGAAAGGAGAGAAGAAAAAGAGAAATACATAACCAAGAAAGAAAAGAGCGAAGACATTTTAAAAATTAAAAAAATACATTTCTCCCCCCCAACCCTGGAAAGGAAAAACAAAAAAACAAGAAGAACAGGGCTTCATATTCATATAAATACGGTGGGATGAAAGCCAGGGTTCCAGTCTAAGGCAGATCCCAAAGAAGGTGAGATCAGAGGTGGATCCGGTGGGCAGCCGGGATGGACGGCAGAGCCCCCACCCCAGGGAAGCCCCCCTCCCGGCCCAAAGGTCCTGCACTCAGCAGCCTTTCCAGAGTCCCGAGGCCTGGATCCGTGCACAACGCAAGGTCCTCCTGGGGTTCCCAGCTGCCCCTCTTTGACTCCAAAGCAGCCCCACAGTTCCCGGAGAGGGTTGGGGGGGGTCCAAGAGGGCCCCTCCAGGGTCCCGTCCTGCTGGCGCTGGGGAAGGCGTCCCACGGCGGCGGCCCCGGGGTCTTCTGGGCGCAAGCAGGCAGGCTCGCTGGCTGGCTGGCTCTCAGTAGGCGGGCACCTGGTGCGGGGTCTGCTGGGGCAGCAGCTGGCACCCGCTGTTGACGTGGCTGAGCACCTTCTGCTTGAGCTGGGCCACCTGCTCGCGCAACAGGTTGGCGGTGGAGGCGAGCTCCGTGTTCTGGCTCTTGAGGCTCTTGACCTTGTCCTCCAGGCGCGAGATGCGCTCCAGCTTGCGCCGCCGGCACTTGGAGGCGGCGATCCGGTTGCGCAGCCGCTTGCGCTCCGCCTTGATGCGCTCCTGCGTGTCCATATCGATGGGCGAGAGCGGCGGGCTGCTGTCCCCGGGGCCGCCGCCGCCGAAGCTGGCCACCTCGGGCACGATCTGAGGCTCGTCCTTCAGCGGCGGCTGGAGGCGCGCCGGTGCGCCCAGTTGGTGGCTCTGGTTGTGCAGATCCTCCAGCGCCTTGACGAAGCCGGCGGCGAACTCCTGCTCGTCGGGGCCCCCCTCGCCGCTCCGGGCCGCCTTGGGGAAGGGGAAGCGGCCGCCCCCACCGCCCCCTCCGGTCGAGTTACCGGTGGTGCCCAAGCCGCCGGACTGGACGATCAGGCGCTCCAGCTCGGGCGAGGCCAGCTTGAGGAGGCCCAAGTCCGGCGAGGCCAGCAACGGTCCGGCCGGGCTTCCTTCGCCCGGGGGCGGCTGGACGGAGGGGCCCGCCTTGAGGTCTCCGGCCAGCGCCAGGGCGAGTCCGTCTTTCTTCATCCGGTTGGACGCCGAGGAGGAGGAGGAGGAAGGCGAGAAGCGGCGCGCCAAGTCGCCGGAGGTTCCACCGGCGCCTGGCGACGACGACGAAGAGGAGGAAGAAGCCGCCAAGGCGATCAGGACCTCGTCGTGGTAGAAGGGCACGTCCATCGTCTGCCCCCGCCGGCCCGAAGGAGCGAGCCGGGGCGCCCGCGGAGGGGCGTGGAGGGGGGGAGGAAGAGGGTCCTCCGGGCTCGTTCTCCCGGCCCAGCGGCCAGGGCCCCGGGGAAGGCAGCGGGCGCTTGCCCGGGCGCGACCCCCTGCTCCGCCTCCGCCGCTTCCCCTTTTTTCCGTGCAGGCCGCGCGCTCACTCTCGCTCCCGCGCGCGCGTAGAGTCCTCGGCCGGCCGCGCGGCGCCACCTTTATAGCCTCCGCCGGGCCGATGAGCTCACCGGCAGCGCGTCCCATTGGCTGGAGATGACGTCGGGGAGGGAAAGCTGTTTTGCATGCCAGCGGGGGAGGGGCCGGGGCCGGGCCACG